CAAGAAAGTGAGAAAGGAATCAAGTGGCCTTGTTAGATCTAGAAAAATCATCTTGTGGTATAAGATTGGGTTTTTGAGAGATTATAACAAGGGGCTAGTTTGTTAAAGGTAGATAGCACCCACAAATCTATTGTTAACGATTTATTTTGCACTTAGAAGTTGGAGGAGAGGCTTTGAATCCAAAGATAACTCTCAAGTAAGTGGCTTGAAAGGTGGACCGCAAACAAATTGTGATCCCTTATACTTTAATTTCTGCACTTTAATTTATTCATTTATAATTGCACAAGCTTGTTCATCAATTTACAAATAAAAATTGTGTAAGTTTTTAAAAACCCAATTACTCCCCTCTTGAATTGCCATTATTTGAACCAACAAATAAAAGGAAAAAAACTCTTACAATAAAGAGAAAACCCTTGAAGGAGACAATCACACCTCATTATTCATCTCCTAACCTTCAAAAGAGATGGCAATGATGACTAAGGAAAGGAAAGTAATTAAAAACAAGAGTCAAGGGAGAGAGAGGAAAAGGGTGGCAAGGTTTTCTCAACACAAGTTTTTGAGTCCATACATACATTGCATATAAAGGGTAAGTAAAATGTTATAAATGCAACTTAACTCTTTGAGCTTGTAGTGTAGAAAAAATTGATAACTTCTATATTTTGTAACCTCATCAATAGATGGCCCTTTAAATAAATAATCCTAAGCACCTTTAGCCTTCCAAATAATTTCAATTCAAATATGGCTTTCATTATCACTTAAAACAAATTAAGATGCTCTAATGCCATGAAGAAATACTACTATTCGACGATAAACAAAAACAATCTATCATAATTATAACTATACAAGAAGATCGAAATTTCCCACTTATTAATGAGGGATTTTTTTCACCTAACAATAGCTCTGAACTTTTTATTTTAAATAATTTATAACTTTCCATTTCATACAAGTTTTTGTGTTATTCATGCAACCTCATTTAATTTGAACAATATATAATATACTTTGACTCCTATATTATTCATACAAACTTGATTTTATATTATTCTTAAGAGGACAATTATATACAGATTATTTATTTATATAATTTTTACATATTACTAAATAAGTAAATGTATATAATATTATAGGTCTTAATAGAGTGAAAAAAACTCCAATTAAATAATATGTAAAGTTATATAAAAAAAACTTATATACAAAAGTTCTCCATAAATTACATTTCATCTTTTACATGTAAAATATTATTATTATTATTTTCTTGAAATAAGGGGAATTACAACTCTTTAATAGGAAAGGGAAAAGACACAAGTTGGGGTTCATACACATGACACCAATCCAAGTGAACATCCACAAAGGCATAGCCCTAGCAAAATTGGACCCAATTGAAAATTTTAACTCAATTCATCTATTATGGATTAGGTCATAGGTCTTATGTGTTAATGCAAAATTTGAAATGACTCGAACTGAAATTATCCAAACCCAAATGGGTTGAGTCATGAGTGGGTTAGGTCACTTCAAATGACTCAAACTTTTTTTATTTATTTTTTATGAGATTACTTAAAAATTAATTTTAAAATTCTAATTTCCTAAGCTTAAAAGTAAAAATAAATAAAACACCCAAACCCTAACCTCCTGTCAATCTCACTTTCTCTCAACTTTTCCTCTTCTCCACTCTCCCTCTCCCCTTCTTCATCTAAAGCTTTCTAATCCTTCTCTTTGGTGGCACTTGCATAAAAAATCAGATTATGTAGCAGATAGTGAGTTGCATCACACAACACCGTCAAATATATATATATATATATATTTTACAATAGGAAGCAAGAATGCCTATTAAAACCAAAACCTACCATTTGAGATATCCTCATCACCATTAGAAGCGTAAAGACGAGCATCAAAGTTAGTTCTTAGTTGCTAATTTATTCTTAGTTAATAATTTGTTCCTAGTTAATAAAAATCAATCACGATCTAGTTTCTTCTTATATTTGTTTAGATGTATTTTAGATTTGCCTTTTGAACTTTAATATTGAATAGGGTTATATTTTTTTAAGGCTATATATATATATATATTTGTATAATGTCTTTTTAAACATTGAATATAGCTGTATTTTTTATATAATACCCTTATAAATATTGAATAGGCACTAGATATTAACATATATGTTGGATTTGTCTTTGAACTCTAATCCTTCATGCATTTTCTTTTAATAAAAGTTAAAGACTTTATGAAATTATAAATTTTAAATATTGTATAGATATTATATATTTGACATATATTTTAATTCCATTTATGTAATCAGTAATATGTATGCATATGTAACTATTTTTTTAGATCTGTCACAATTGTGATAAATTATAGTGATGATTTCAAAATTTATCACAAATTTCTGTTACTAAAAATCATTTTTCTTGTAGATTAATCTTTCCATTTTCTTTTCATGAGATTGGAATGAAAATTGAATCATGGAATAAAAATTAGCATTTAATAGAATTTTCTAATCAAATAATTAATTAGTATTTGACTTTTAAAAGAAAAATAAAAAATATGAAAAAAAATTTATTTTAATTCTAATTTTTTTTAAAAGTTTGGTCCATCTAATCCAAGACTCAATTCAATTCAAGATTCAAGTAAGTGAATCATGGATCTACCCCTTTAAACCAATACCTAAAATTATCCAATTTAAAAAACCCAAAATCCAAGATGGCGGAACTCGAACTCACCCAATTTAACCTGTTTGTCAGGTCTACAAAGGCAGGTGATGACCTCTGTTCCAAGCGTAGAATTCCATCTAATGTCGTTTTCCTTTCTTTCTTCTTCCTCCTTTTTTTTTTATTTTTTTATTATTATTAAAGATGTTTGGTAGGGAAAAATGGTAGCTTTGGTGTTTTTTAATCTTGTTTCTGTGAGTTCGTGACATTGATAAGTATAGAAAGTTAAAGATGTTGGCAAAACAAGTGGTAATAACATCTACCGACTTGGCAAAACAAGTAGTAACATCTAGCGACTTGGAACCAGCATAAATGTAATGCTCGCGTCATGCAGGTTACATAACTCTCTCGTGTATTGAGAAGACCTACTCGCAAAAGTGACCACCTAATATATTATAAATTAACCATCTCACATTGTGATGTAGGTTCTCAGTCACAACCCTTCTACTTGTAATCTCCTTTCCTTAATTCTCTATGTTAAAACAAAAAATAAATAAAGTCTGGAGTCTTGAATAGTAATATAGAGAACGAAAATTTAGGATCAAAATTTAAAATTAATAATATGGCATAACTTATGTCATTAATTAAATAAGTTAATGTATATAATATTATAAATTTTAATAAAGTAAAAGAATAAATTATTAAATAATATAATTTTACTTTTAATATTTTAAATAATATGATTTATATAATAGTTTTGGTCTCATAAAATTCATCCCTTTTATCATTATTCGACTCTCTTAATGTAATTAATTGATTCTTACGCATTAATTTGGGTACTTAATTTTGTATTCTCATATATTACAATTTAATTAGTGAAAAAATGAATGATTTTCTTTTAATAATCAAGCTAACCAAAACGAATGAAAATTTTCGAAGTATAAAAATTATAAAACTACAGCAAAGTTTAGTGAAAAAATCCTACATTATGTATAAAAAAATTCCTACATAAAATAAAGTTAAGATTTTGTAACATAAATTCACTTTAACATGTAAATAGGGTATTAAATAATTGCAACTAAGAAAACTAGATACATAACCTCAAAGTAAGAAAAGGACTAATAGCTAGGGGGGAGGATTTATAGGAGTCGAAATTATTATTACTATGATTTTAATTTTTTATTTTTAATTTAGGATGTCTTGGTAGTCAAAATTTAAACAATTAAACTTAAAATAATTAAAAATTAAAATTAAAATTTGAAAAAACTAATTTATTAAGTATAAAATTTTAAAACTAATACTCAAAATGGAAAACTTAAATAATTCATACAACTTTTTAGTTATATTTTACGGTTTTTAAATTTTTATAAATCAAAAGTAAAACAAAAAAACTACAATTAGACTTAAATATAACCTTAGTATTGGTTTTTCGTCATGAGAAGTGCGTGCGTTCTGAAACCACAAAACTCTTCAATTGCGAACCACTTCACGTGGAAAATAATAATGAGAATAGATTGAAAGATCAAGTAACATTATTATAGGACCCTCAAAAAAAAGGTGACATTATTACATAACAGAAAAGTTGAGACATGAAATGTCCACAAAACTACCAAATGTGTATTTCTTGGAGTGGAGGGGAAGACCCAAAATCTGGCAGCCGCTATTTTATGTATGGGCGCCCTTTTATCTGTCGGTATCACACACTCATTAGCATTGGCAGCTGACTCAACTTCACTGCTCAAAGAGTCAAAATTTGTCCTAATGTATTAATCATAAGAAATTTTGATTTAATTTCTCAAAAAAATACTTTGTTAGGGGTATCTTTTTTATCAAATGTATTTTTCAGTCCAAAATATTAAAAAAATATAGTTTAGTTTATAAAATACTAAAATACTCTTTAATGAGTGTTTTTCTCAAGTTAATTTGATAAAGGTATTGTAATGTTTTTACTGTATAGACTAGACTTTTTTATACAATCAAATTGAGATTAAAAGAGTTGACAAGTGAAAAAACTCAAAAGTTGAATTTATTAATAAATAAATATTATTTTATAAATTAAGTTTAATACTAATTTAATATTTAAATCTCAATACTAATATTGAAGTAAATTAATTTTCATGAATGACATCTTTAAAATTATTTTAAAAAAATTAATCACAAAATATATAAAAACTAACTTAAAAAACCTCTTACAATAAATATTAAAAATAATAATAATAACAACAAGGGAAGAAAGTAAGGGAAGAAAGATGAAAGAAAGCTGGAAGGAAGTGAACGCCGGACCAAAGAGCCGCAACACAACGTACAAGGCACACTAAACTTCGAGAAACCAGAGAATATACCAACGAGCAATAATAGAGTTTCGATATTGAATATCTCCCAGAATTAATGAGAGGAAACACAAGAACTCTCTCAAGTAACATTAGAAAACATCAGAACCTTATTTATGATTCATATACAAAAAATTTTAAAATTTACACCTAAAACTGCTCGGAACTCCCAAACCCCAAAACTTACTAGCATTCCAAATTCAGACTATCATCAATCCATGCAACATCCTTCGGATCCAAATCTAATTCAGTAACCTCAAAATCAACAATACCCCCATTTCCCTTCTCTTCTACATGTCCCAAGCTATTCTCACACAGCTCCACATCATTCCTATAATTATAAAACTGCTCAAATTCTATATCTTGCTTTACAAACCCATAGTACTGCCCCAGATCATCTCCATACTGGACTAGCTTTGGGAATTCGAACTCCGGCATGATGATGATTTGATCATCCAAAATACCAGAAATAGGCCGTGAACTCTCTGAAGTTTCCCATAAATCGGACGCTGCTTGCTCTTCTTTCTCCTCTTCAACGAGTTGTTGATCGGACAGTTCCTCCACGATCTTGTATTCCTTCACAGTTTTGTGCCACTTGTACACTTTCACACTCCTCTGCTCTGCCGCATTCTCTGCTGTATCATCCGATGATACTGAGGCAGAATTGTCAAGTACCGAAGACGGAGAAGCATGAGAGAATAATCCATTGGAGGTGTCTTCAGAACTGAATGAAGTTGTCTTCTTCTTCTCCGCTACCATCTTTCCTTCAAACTCCATCTTCTTCATCTTATAAGCCATAGCAGCAGCCTCTGCTGTATCGAAGGTACCGAGCCATTCCCTACTCTTTTGGAACGGATTCCTGATCTCTGCGGCGTATTTTCCCCACTTTCTTTTCCGAACCCCTTTGGGAAGATTACTCCGAGACTTGATTCTGATGTCATTGAAGTTTGAAGGGTTTTCTGCACAATCATAAGGCAAACTTTGAAGAGAAATCTCCTTGACATGCCGCACCAATTTGTTCATCTGATCGACGGAAATCTCATCCTCTTCCTCCTCGCTTGAAGAATCATCGGTGGCATCGGGATCACTGTATATGATTCGAATTTTCCTCGTCGTGTTCAATTCCCCCTCTGGTGTTTTACTTCTCTCTTTGTCAAAATTCATATTTTCAAGAATGAATCTTTGTCTTTGCATTCTTGGTATCTTATGGTGAAAGAACAAAAAATCTGGGTCTATATAAGGAAAGAAAGAACAGGTATTTTCAAATTTGAATGGTCAGAGGGGGAGATGAAAAAGGAAAGAGGAAACGAAATCTTTGACAGACTTGAATGTCAAGTAAACCCCCTAAACCCCTAAAATCCAGAATTGGGAAGAAAAGATTTTCTTCTTAACCAAACACAAGAGGACTCTTTCCATGACCAATTCCTGCACCAAACATTAGAATCCAAACACAAGACTATCAAGACACAAAACCCCATTAAAACCCATATTAAAAATCAAGAGATAAACACAAAAGAAAGAAAACCCATATCCATATAAACATGAAAATCACCAAAATTCAAAAAAGAAAAGAAAAAAAGAACAATGATCAACGTACCCTTTTGATCTGAATTTCATGGAACAAGATATAGAACTTCTGTTTGTTTCTTTGGTGCAGAAACAGAGATTGGACGCAAAAGGATAGTAGATGAAGAGAGCAATGAGCAGAAAGTGAAAGAAGAAGACCCAGAGCTTCTTGGGAGCTCCAATTATGACGCGATCAGACCCAGAAGACATAAATCTCCTGTTTTTCACTCCCCTGATTCTTCGGGAAAAATCAAATCAAATCTCTTCCTCAATGAGCAAGGAAACTCAGAAATCAGAGACCGTTTAAGGAAAAATCGAAAACAGGGATCAAGATAAAGGAAATTCTGCAAAATTAACGGGATTTATGTACCTAATTAAACATCAAATGGAACTAGGATTTGTAATAATTACAAAGATTTGAATGAAAATAAATTGAAACGAAAAAAAGGAAAAAATATTTTTCTCACAGTCAAATATCTTTCTCTTTAGGGGAGCTCTGCTCTGTTCTTCTCTTACTCTCTGTTTCTTTGTTATTACTCTGCATCTACCCAAGAGTTTCTGTTCTCAAAGGAAAGTCCTTTTTATTTCCGGACAGGTGGGACCCACAGAGACCCGTTTTGGGAGTCGGAAACGGGCCCGCGTCTGCGAGCGTGGTATGCACCCCGCTCGCCCAATTGGATGAGAACTGGGCCCACAGAATAGTTTTCAAAGTTGTTTTTGGGAAGCGGTTA